GTTTTAATAATGAAAGTCATTTTTTTTATGGAAAATTTGTCAAAAATAAGCAAACCTTTGCTCGATCTTCCTAAAATAAGCAAACCTTTCGATTAACTCATAATAAGTTGACCTTTATGGGGTATTATCTTTAAATGAGTTAGATGACCTACAACCTACCAAACAGGTCACCTTTTTTTTTTCCTAATTCTAATAAATTTTATTATTTTATAATTGATAATTAATTAAATTGTATTTTTTAAAAAAAAAACAAAAACCCACCATATACCAGCGCTCCACTCACATCTTCTTTGGCCTCACCTGGTCCCTGAGCATCGACGGTCGACCTTCCTTCCCCTCCTTAAATGCCGGCCCGTGCATAAAACCCGAAACCCACCTGAACCACCCCACCCCGAAACTCCATTTAACAGAAACCCTCCCAAAAACCACCACACACCTCGATTCCCCACCCTAACCACCAGAATATTACCATATCCACCTCGAAACCCAACACCCACCTCGTTGTTGTTGTTATGCAGATTTGCGACTTTGATTGCGGGGATGTGATGCGATGGTAGATTGGTAGTTTTGGTGGTGGGGAAGGCAAGGGGTGGTGGATTCAGTGGGGATTTTGAGGGTGGAGGTGGGAGGGGTGGTGATTTCAGTGGTGGGGATGGGAGGTGGAGATGATTTCGATGCTCAGGGAGGTGTTGACGATGGCTAACGGGGCAAGGGCGAGGAGAGGGGCTGCTTGTAGTGGGGGTATCTAAAAATTAAGGGTTTTTTTCCTTAAAAAGAATATTTACAAAATTTAAAAATTAATTAAAATAATAAATTTTAATTAATTTTTTTTAAAAAAAACAACCAACCACATAATGACATATGTCATAAGCAACCCAAACAACCGGTTACCTTTAAAATAAACAGGTCATGACTTGTTTTGATAAAATCTAATATCTAATACATATAAATAAAGTAGGCATTTTTGGAGAGCATTCGGAGCGCCACGTAAGAAATATACTTATTTCGACCAATAAGAAGAAAGATTTGTATTTTATTTTTAAATTAAAAAATTATGTCGCCACCTAGATAAAAGTAACGAATTAGATTTGATATATCTAAAATTTTAATGCCACGTAGATTATAATCCACGAATTAAATTATTTAATGAAAAAATATAAAGTAAAAATATAGGAAAAGATAAATTTATTAATTTAGATAAATTTTGATAGTATTTATGATAAGAAATACAAATAGTTCGTTAATTATAATTAAATTAAAATTTGTGATACCTACCATTATAAATTGAACATCATACGACACAAACAAAATTTCGTATCAATAAAAAATCCCATCAAGCGAATTTTGTGTTAGTAATTTTGTGTTAATTTTTGGTCATCAATGGCCGGGTAATTTTAGCTTAATTTTTAAAATCCTATGTTTTTATTAGTATTTCTAATTATTACTTACATTGTATTAATTTGAGATACTCAACGATTATATGTTTATGTTTTATTTACAGAATGTTTTTTTACATGCAGATCTAACACATCATACGACACAAATAAAATTTCGTATCAATACAAAACCCCATCAAGCGAATTTTGTGTTAGTAATTTTGTGTTAGTTTTAGGTCATCAATGTCCGGATAATTTTTAAAATCTTATGTTTGAATTTATATTTGTAATTATAAGTTACATTGTATTTATTTAGGATACTTAACGATTATTTGTTTATATAATGGCATACGATTAGATGTTGTACACTTAATATATGGATGGCTTTGGTTATTTTTGGAGATGATGAAAAAATTCCAATGCATAGATTTGATTTTATATCGGAACAATTTTTTATTTATTGGTAAATATATTGATTTATTTTATATATGTAAAGATTTAATTTATATCAATTTCAGTTTGGCTAACATTTCACCGTTCAATTTATCCATTGATGTAGTAATAATGATTAAGGATTTAAATTATTAAAAATTTATCATTTCACATTAAAGATTTTATATAATGGAAAAAATCTCATATTTACAATTTATTTATATTTAATAAATTCATTATAAATTATAGTAAAAAAGTATTAAACTTTTGTAATTTTGTCTGTAATTATTAAATACAATAAATCAAATAATTAAAAATCTTAGATGAAAAAACCGTGCATCGCACGGGCTTCCATCTAGTACCCCATAAAGGTCAACTTATTATGAATTTATCAAAAAGTTTGCTTATTTTTGAAAGACCGAGCAAAAATTTGCTTATTCTTAACAAATTTTTCTTTTTTTATCATATAAAGAATAAAGAAAGTTTATATAATACTCGTAACTTGATACTAAGGCAAGCTTTAGTTGCTTTTTCCCTCAAAGAAAAAATAAAAATTAAAACAAGGCTAGAGCCACAATTAACTAAAATTGGACTGCCGCCTAGCTACAAGCCTACAACTGATACAAAGAATACGCCTAAGTGGCCTAACCCGTAAGTTTAGGGTTGGTAAGGTGCGTAACTGCGTATGAGCACAATAATTTTCAATAAATTATCTCCAGGAAAATCCTTATCCATTTCTCTTTTGACTGCACCCTACTCGCCAACCAAAGTCCAAAAGTCCAAAACAAAGTATTCCATTCATTTTTAGTTATAATAACTAACATAGTGCCTGTGCAATGTACGGTTTATAAATCAAACTATTAATCCCATAGGAAAAATTAAAAAAAAAAAAAAAAAAAAAAAAAAAAAAAAAAAGAAGAAGATAATTCAATTAGTAATAATTTGTTTTTATTTTTATTTTTTTTTATTTTTTTTTTATTTTTTTGTTTGTTTTACAGGAAGTAACTAGAATTTATAAAATTAGAAAGCATCAAAAGCAACAGCAGCAAACACCATGGGGGGGATCTAATCAGTCCACATCGTACCCTCAAAATCTCTACTTGAGTTTGCAAGAATATGGGCAACTCTATTACCTGTTCTTCTCACAAACGAGAATTCCAGGCTAATACACAAACTATCAAGAAAATATATATCATTCAAAATAATCCCCAGAGCGTTGCAATCACGAGTTCTGTTCTTCAGCTTGTTGTAGAGAATTAGGCAGTCCACCTCCAAATTACCTTAGAGAAACCAGCTTCCAACGCAGAAGAGAGAGCAAATCATGGGTTTACTTCGTTCAATGCCTGGATCATAGAGGCGTATGTACCATGCACGTTTCATTTTTTAAAAAAATAAGCGGAAAGAACATATTACAGAAATGTAATCAGTGGCAGATTCAAGATTAGATTAATAGGTTGTCCCATCATCCAACGACCGCATATAATATATTAAGCAATAACCAAAGCTTTAAAAATAAACCATATATATGAAGTATATATATACATAAAAAGGTTCATTTTCATAAAGTAAAACAAATTTATATTACAACGAATAAAAAAGGTAATTAAACTTATTACAAAAATTGCTCTCCAGGAATTTTCATGTTTTAATTTGATAAAAATTTACAATAACAATGCAACTTTGAGTTACTATTCTCAATAGAATTTTCGATAACAACCAGTCAACTACACAATTTATACAATAATTAATCAATTTAAAACCCTAATTGTGAATGTAACAAATAGTCGATTCAAAGCAATACCTCTAAATAATAATTTATAAGCATTATAAGCTGAATAAGAACAACAAATCAACAATAATATAAAGCTTTTAAACAATTAACATAAGAAAATAAGGAAATAGTTAGCAAGAACACCCATTATTCATTATAATACCCAAAACAAATTTCTAAATTAGTAAGTTAGGGTCAGTAATACCTAAGTTTTGTAGTTAATGGGTAGTTAGCGGAGCCGCAGAGGCAGTATGGAGGCCGGGCGCGGCGGATCGATCGAACAGTGGTGCCGAAAGCCCAAAACTGTGACTTGCTGCGCTTGAATCATGAATGTTTGGTGTTTATTATTATTATTTTTTTAACTCCTTCCATTTTTTTTTATTTGTATCACTTTCTTTTTATGGGTGTTTTTTTTTAAATGCATCACTTCTATATTTAATAACTTTATATTATATTTTATCATTTCTCTCTCGTACTTTAAACCCTACTCAAATTATTTTATCATTTCTCTCTCTTCCATGGTCCACATCTTACTTTTACTACAAATGTATAATAATTTATTCACCTACTCATAATATTATATTACTCTCCTAAAACTTTGTTCATTTCTAAGTGATGCAAAAGAAGAAAGAAAAAAAAAACGAAGGGAGTATTTTGTAAAGACTAAATTGTGGAGTAAGATGTAAGGAGGTTAGAAGGGAGAGTGGGAGACAATTAGACAAAATGTCTGACAAAAAATTCCTTTTTTCCATTAAAATTTATATTTATTTATTTTACTTTTATGTTTTACTGTAATATTCATGTGAAGTCTTTACTCTTTAGTTACTACTTACGGAGTACTAGGTAGAAGTAGACGTCTAGACGAGTAGTATGTAATGTAGGCCGATGATCTTTCACAAGTTTTACTTTTGATTTTTTTTTTTTAAATAATTCTGTGTCATATGACCCAACATAACTAAAGTGGGTCCCTGAATGTAATGAACATATAGTTACAGTGAAAAGAACATATTATTAAAATGTAATGAATATATACCTAGATTGAAAAAAACATATTATTAAAATGTAATGAACATATACGTAAAGTCACTAGTGGGCAAAACGCTATTAGCAATTTACAAAAAGTGACTTTTAGCAATTGACGCATGGGGCTGCTATTGCATGAGAATATTATTTGCAAATGGCATTGGCCAATTGCTAATAGTACTTATTCGCAGCTGGCGTAATACTAGGCCAGCTGCTGTTTATTCGCAGCTGGCATAGTACTAGGTCAGCTGCTAATAGTGCTTATTTGCAGCTGGCGTAGTACTAGGCCTGCTGCTAATAGTCCTTTTTTAAAAATATTTAAAAAAAAAACTATTAGCAGCTGGCATAGGAGTACGCCAGTTGCGAATAGTCATTTCTTTAAATAAAAAAAATTGCAATTTTGCGAAATTGATATACAAACTATATCATATACTATTTATAACAAATTTAATGTTAATTATGCAGTATACATTAATTACAAATAAAAAAAATTATAAGCCTTCTACAGAAACACAACAACAAAAGCGCCCGGGAACAACATTTATAAGCAGCAAAGAGCAGCAGCACCGAACAACTCAAATAAACCAAATCAGCCATGCATTTTCCTTCAAAAACTACAATAAACAACAATAGATTAGATATTCATCTAAACATAATTAAAAATCAACAAAAAAAACGCACAAAAATCTAAGGAGAAAGAACCTAGATACTTGATTTTCGAGTTTTAATGAGAGAAATATACTATGATTTTTACTATGAAACCCAACAACACAACATCAATACATACACCCACATATACCTTAACTAAATAAGATGAAATTAGTCACAAAAGAAAAAGCAATTTCTCAACAACAAATGTAATTTCACAAAGTTTGGTAATTCCAAAAAGATGCATTCCATCTACACCCAATAAAATCATTTAATTATCCGGAGAAAAAACAAAAGGAACCAAACTGATATTTACCTGCTCAATGATGGAGTTATCAGTCTGCTTGTTAACCTTTCCGAACCCCTCTTGTAGATCAGATCTCTTCAAGTTAGGGTATCTGCAATCGTAGGGTTTTGGTAAGATATCTTTCATTCAATTTCTTGTGAAAAGAAGCCCTATGTATGTAAGATACATATTATGCAGTATCATCAAAAGTGTAGTCCAAAAGACAGGTTAGCTTTATATACCTTGTAGTCATCCCCACCAGATTCCATCAGTGAAGGTTCAGTACGCGAAAAGTCCACACTCCAAGCCCGTTATCATGCTCCAAGCCCGTTATCAGGGAAGTTAGCATTACTGACAAAAGTCAAAGTAAAACCAAACCAGTAGCCTTAGAATGTAGAACAAGCTTAATGGGACAAACAGCTTATTAGAACTATTAATACCACCTGATTAGTAGCAACGTCCCAAACATTTACAATCCCTCATAATCACTGCTGGCAATACAATGTATTTTAGGGCGAAAGCCATAGCATATCCATCACTAGCCAAATTCATAAACATTGTATTTTAGAATAAATCACTAAGCAGTAAAGCCAGCAAAGAATGACACACACACTGCAGTGCATCTATTAAAACAGAAGCTTCTAGCTTAGTGGCTAATGACCGTAATCAAGCAAAAAATCTAAAAAACCAATACGTAACATATAAACAGGTATAAGTGAGCCTCTCATCATCAAAAATTACATATCAAAGTTAACAGTATATCAATGACATGGAGCACAGTCACTCAAAAGAATTAAGATTTCAAAGAAAAGACCCACCTGGAAATGATATTGGCAGCGTGAAAAACGTTGCCAAGCCTTAACTCTGAAATAGGCCTCAACTGGCTGTACAATTCCACCCAAAATTAACTCTGAAAAACAACACAAAATCTGGATCAAAATAGCCTCCATGGACATATAATTAAGCACACATTAAGCAATAACAACCCAATTCGGCTCCTGACTAGCAAATGGCCCAAGGAGGTCAGCTCACATTCAGCACTACCCTATGTAACAGAACATACCGCCTACACGACAGCGAAAGTATCCCTGCCAATGACAGAACATTATAGCTTAAATCTCAAATTAGTGTATGCACACAACTATGAGATACACCAATTTATCCATTACTCAAATATTGAACAAAAAATTAAGAAAAAGGAAATAAACCCAAGATTTATAATGAGCTTAAAGGCAAACCCATATGGTCAAAACATCAGCATTTCAAGTTATATGCACACAATGCAAATTCATAGACCATACCTTTGAAAAATTAAACCCCAATTTTTTTACCAACCTAACATTACTAAAAATTAATTCAATACCCCAACAAACCCACCAAAAATTAAATCATTTTCCCACAAAAACAAAAAAACACTAACAAAATGCCAGTGAATCCAATGAAACATTTGCAGATGAAAAATTCAGCTTATTGAAAATTATTCAATCACACAATTAAACCAGTTACTCAATTTTAAGCTTATTGATTTTAATCATTGAGCAAAGAACCTGTTGTCTTGGGGAAAACAGAGCTACTACAACTCGTCAGCTCTACTATAAATTTCTGGCATTTCTGCTCTCATTTGCTCTTCTTCTTTCTCAATCCATTATCTTCCCTTTCTCTCTCTACAAACTTCCTCTTTCTCTCTCTAGAAAAAACTCCTCTAAACAACTGATTAAGGTAAAAACTCTCCAAAAATCATTGATTACAAATTAATTCTACAATCTCATCATTGCTTGCTAGTACGATCAACTCAATTTCATGTAATTTTGATGACATTATTTGTTTAATTGTTGTTGTTTTCTTCAGTCGATTATCTCTCTTTACTTTTCAGTTCGATAATTTCCCACCCTCCATTGATGTAGATCCATCACCATTACACCCGTATTGAAGTAACATGAGAAACGACACAATTCTATAAAAAAAAAAAAAAAAAAAAAAGGGAAACAAACTTAACACAATTGAATCAAACAAAAAACGTTAATTTTATTAAAAATTTGACACCAGCAGCTCTTACCATCAACACCATCAGGATCTAGGGTTTTCTTGTCATTATCCACCTCCTTTTCTTCAAGAACAGAAACTATGAGGAGAGCGAAGCTGTGCAAAAATGGAGGAGAATGAAGTGAAGTTGTGGGAAAATGGAGGAGAGCGAAAGTGGTGCTGAGTGAGGCTGTGCGAAAAAATGGAGGAGAGAGAAAATGGAGAGGCGGGTATATCGAAGAAAAGGAGTGAGAGAGGAGAGAGAAAATGGAGTAAGGCTGTGCGAAAACTACAACATAAACAACCTTTTAGTTCTTTAGTAGCGGGCACTTTTAGGTAAGTTACAATTATTTTGGTCAATTTTTATTTCACCTAGTGTTAGTAGCGGGCATTTCTACGCCTGTTACAAATGGCATGATGTAGTATTTGTAACTGACATTATTTTGGTCAGTTACAATTAGTGTTTTAGTAACTAGCGTATATAACGTCAGTTGCTAATAGGGCTGCTGCTAATTGCATTTTTTTCACTAGTGAGTGAAAAGAACATGCTATTAAAATGTAATGAACATATACCTAGAGTGAAAAGAACATACTGTTAAATAATATTATTCCTCTATCTCCATGTTCTTTGATTGTCAGTATAATGTACTTTTATTTGTGACATAATGTTCATTGTTTATTTTGAAATGTTCTTTAAATTTTGTCTTTAGATTATGGTGGGTGAATAAAAATAATGTTCACTACATTATATTATCATGTTCTTTATTAATATTACGGATGTTCTTTAGATACACAAAAAGAACATAAAGTTGGATGTTCTTTAAAAAACAGTTATATGTTCTTTACAAAACAACTATATGTTTATTACAAAACAACTATATTATATGTTTATTACAAAACCTATATGTTCATTCCGCCTTTTAAAAAAAAATTAAAAATCCGGATGTACCATGCATGGTACATCCCCCTCCACGAAAAAAATTTCATACTTCGTTAGTGTTTGATAAATTCATAAACATATAAACTATGAAAAATATTTATCATATTGGAAATATAATCAATTATTTAGAATTAATCAAAGACAATAAAATATATTTTAAAATAAATGTAATCAATAATTATACTAAAGGCGAAATCAGAAATAATACTTGTCATTTTCTGGTTAAAAATTCACCTGCCTTTTTTTCTTTCTTTCTTTCTTTTTTTTTTTTTTGCCAAATTTTAGTGACATCCATTTTATAACCTACAGTATTACTTATTTCCACTTGACAACATATTTAATCCAATTATGCTCAATTAATTTTTTTTACATATATTCTACTGTATATACTAGGAAACTTTTAGTTACAAAAATACTAACATAGATTAAAAATAAGGTTTTGTAATATATTATTATCCAAGATTATTATAATTTTATCAAATTTTTTTCTTCAACTTCTATCATTTGACAATAAAATTTATTTTAATTAAAAAAGAAAAATCATTTTGATAGCATACTTTGTGTAAATCTAAATTATACATAACTTTTATAAGAACAATTGAACAAAATCATTTTGTTATAGTATACATAACATATATTGGAAAATTCAATCTAATTACTCTAAACATTTATGTGATTATTAAAAAAAAAAAAAAAAAAAAAAAAAAAAAAAAAAAAAAAAAAAAAACCCTACTACTGACTAAAAATATATTTTAAAAAGTTGATTACGAAATACTAATTATCCTAAAGTAAAATAAAATCAACTAAATTTTCATATAATGCCAGTTAAAGTGTGTCAACAAAATATAAGGGCAAATGTATATGGGTACTAATCTAAGCTAATATTTTCATTCTCTTATATAAAACCTTAAATTTCTATTACTATTTTATACAATCCAATTCAATAATCTTTACGTATTTGGTAATTGTATAAATTAAAATTCAAGTTATTTTGTTACAAATATTATTTTTGGATAAATTATTGTTGAATTAACACCATTATTTATAATTTATTTGTTGTAACTTTAATTATGACAGTGCATGACACGGGACTTAACCTATTTTATATAATACATATTGATTACACATAGAATAATATAAATATAAAATACTAATTTATACAATAAATTAAAAAATATGAAAAATATGTGAATCACAAATAAATACGAAGTATTTTTTTAGGAAAGTGAATCACAATTATATGATTTGATGAATGTTTATAAAGAATATTTCACAAGTAGTTGAAGTAAAAGAAGAACAAAAAACGATTTTGGAGGGAAAAATAGCACCAGGACATGACACGTGTCATTCCTGCTGTCTGTTTTAGTATTATGTTATTGATTAGAAATTTATTTTTTTATTTCAAAATACTACCTCCGTTTCATATTGTTTACAACTTTGGAAACATAGGTAATATTTTAATGTTCAACTTCTTTATAGCAGAGCATATGCATACACCATTTTGGCTAATGTTGGTGTAATAACATAAAAAATTAAACATAGTTATGTGGGTATTTGTATGGGAGTATTTGTTAATTTATACTTACTGATAATTAATTTGTTAAATTTCTATATTAATATGCCGGTAAAATAGGACATTTATTTTGAAAAAAAAAAGTCATTATTTATACTTTTATGAGGGATATTCTTATTTTTCCGTCTTGGAATTTATATAATTATATACGAAGTATATATCAATGGATTTAATTTGACGAACAACTTTTCTTCAATCTAGTCTTCTTGATACGTATTAATCAAAACACTAAACATGGATTATGACTAATCCAGTTTGTCCTTTAGCATAATTCCATTTGATATTTACTGAGTATAAGTTATATTTCCTCCGTTTCTATTTAGTTGGCGCATTTAATTTAGGCTTACATATTAAGAAGAGGAGAGAGAATGACAAAGCAAGTGGGGTACACAAGTAAATACAAAGTATAAAACTTACCCAAAAAAGAAATGTGTCAACTAAAAATAAATTTCTTCCTAAAAAGAAATACGTGTCAACTAAAAAACCAGAGGTAAGTAGTTTATAAAAAACATGAAAATCAAAATCGAATTTGGCTATTGACTAATTTATAATCATATTAAGAAATTGAAAATACTCTAAAATAAATATGCATATTTTTAGATATATATTGACCACCCCATTAATTATTTATTTTGACTTTTCTAGTACTCCGTATATATTGTTTAATACAAGCATCTTTTATGTCGGTTGCACATATGTTTTGTGTGTATATGCAAAAAGTTTAACGTAGAACAATGTTGTACCGTATATGAAATCTAACCTTTTTTTTTTATACCGTCATGTTCAAAATTTTAACCAAATATATAGTTGACATCCATCCAAATGTATGATGAAATAATCCACTTATTACAAGCTAGTTACGACCTTGAAAACGAGAAATACTCAAATAATCATTAAGAAAAAAGAATTATAAGTTTTATTGTATTAGTTATAAAACTTGTTATATCTAATTATCTCTAAGGGCTGCCTAAGATATTATTTTGGAAGATCAAAAACACCAAATCATTTTAAGTCAGTGTGTATGGTATATTGGTATATGCGTTTATATGTGAACAAAAACGCAAAGTCAAAAACAAACACGTACAAAAATTGGCTGTTCCATTCCCTCCAACATAAGTTAGCTACAATTTTCGGTTTCTTGTAATTCAGCATTACTTCTAGTCAAATTTTCTTCTTTTATCTTTTATATAAGATGTATGCTTTAACTTATTTTATGTACTTTATATAATTAAAGTCGTATGTGACAATGAAATTAAAAAATAACACTTGAGCTTAGATCCCATCATATACTACATACCTCGATCAGTTTAATTACCAACTAATCTAATTATTTAGTTACAAACAATCCACGATAAACTTTAGCTTAAAAATATAGACGAAATCTTAATTTACCATGCAAACGTACATTATTTACAAACAAGTTAAGAAACATTCTTTAAATCAAATTCTAAACAACAAATTAAATCAATGATTAAAGTAATACATAAATATTAATCTGCTGCTTAATACCTTTATATTATCTATATATAATCAATCTATCATCATCATCATTGTGATTGATATAGATTACTACCGCCTTGTGAGTTGTGATCTCCAGAAATCCACGTATCTTGCAGCCTCATTCCATAGCAGGCAGGACCTAAGCTCTTTTTTTAAAAAAAAAAAAAAAAAAAAAAAAATTTAAATAATAAAATTTTGATAAGACACCAAACTAATTTTGCATTACGTATTTCTCTTTTTCTTTAATACAAAGTTATGTATTATTGTATATGAGATTATACCAACTTTCTAGCAATGGCATACTTGTATTAGTTTTAAAAAAAATATGGACTAGTGATGAATCTTTACATAGGCGGGTAGGCCTATACAATTCAAGGGATATTCCCTTCATTACCGAATAAACTATTACAACACTTGATTTTTTCAGCCATTTTGAATAATTACAATAGTTTTTAATATGATAAAATCACGCACTGTTATTTTATTGTTCTTTTCTCTTACTATTCTTTATTGATTTATTGAGGGAGGATCTCTTTGGAGCAAACATTTATACCGATCAAGTTGTCACCTTTCCTCTTTGACCTATTTCAATAAGAGTGTAGGATAACATAATTGATCTCAACTTTTCATAAACTATTCACATGCATTAAACAAGCACTTTTAGTAGAATTTTTAAGCAGCATATGGGTCTTGGATTAAGGGTAGCAATAAAAAGGGTTGACCTAATTAAATCTCAAATTAATGTAAGACCTCTTCCAATTTTAAGGGCTTTTTAGCCATTGATGGAATGCCACGTGGTTGTCCCCCCCAGCAAAATACATGCTGGAACAGATGAGACATGGCCCACATCCTTGCCAACTCACTTAATGCTTAATTGACAAAACATTTAGGTTAAAAAGTTAGATTAGACTAAACATTAGCTCATCAGTCATATTGACATAAAATAATATGGAGACACGTATATGAATAATTGGTTTAATTGGTGGAATATCTCAATCAAATTTCCTATTAGGGAGACCTAAGGTTATAAATATTTACTTTTGACTAATCCAATTTGATTAAACCTCTTAATCATATATAGGGCGTTTGATGGATCATTATATATGGTTTCCTATACGGTTGAAACATCTGTAAGACATCGTCTCATCAAACTAACTGAGGATCGACACGTGTTGGATGAATTTGTTTTTCTTTTCTATTATTGGAAATTTTATATTTTAGAATAGCTTTTTCTATTACTTGATGAGGAAATAAGTAATTACCGAGTAGATCTTTTTATAGTCATAAGTATGGTGAAAGCAATAATTAGATGAGATAAAAACAACTTAATGTCGAACACTGCCTTTTCTAGATTAGGAAGCATAATAATCACATTCAACTGAATCATTGTGGTATTATGCG